ATTTTGAATGATAGAAAGGTTCGAATTAAATAAGATTCAATGTTCTTCCATGGATTGATTCAGAAAAGTTGCAAATTTTCTCAGTGCCAGAGAACAACCTACAGAAAGCAAGACTCGGCAACCGCGCTTTCAACAGGTAGACGAAAAGAGCAGGTGAGATTCCGTTCTCCCCACTTCCTGAAACACTGAAACACTGAAAAATACTGTGATAACTCTTGGTTAGATTACAACACTGAAAAATATCAATGAAATGGCAAGAAAATCCGGCTCGAAGGACCAAAAATGTTTGATGAAGTAGCCTGACTACGAATTGATGAAAATATCATAGGCTAGAATTGTACTGTTGAAGTTGATGCTCGAGAAGATTAGTGGACTGTAGTGAATTTGTATCGAATTAAAACGGGCCTGAGATCATACCTTTGATCTACTATGACTTTGGTGTCGATGGAGGTCCGAAAGTCTTCTGCTTCGGTCCTGAAGACACTTTCAGGTGATTCTCGTCATCACCAACCAGCGGGTGTAACACTCACGAAAGTCCTGACGGTCGATAATCTCGATCGGGGTATTGATTAATTTGTCCCCGCACCTTATGCTTCGAAAGCACTTATTATAAGTATTTCAACGTATTTTGTCACGAAATTTAGGCTACTTTTTGTTTACTTGTGATGAGCTAGAATCATCGATAGGTTTCAGTTGTTCGCCATCTTCTAGCACGATTCAGAAGCTGCCACGTTGCCACTTTGTCCATTTGGTAAATCTGAGGCTACGCGGGTAAATTCTAATATCTTTATTCTACTCAATGTAATTTATTTGAAATGCTTGTGGAAGAATGGCACACACATACACACACTATATACAAAAATATCGTGAGGACACGACAATGATGGTATCATCAGAATGAAAACCAAGTGGAAGGACTTCCCTGATTTCTACCATCATCATCGTGAGTGAACTGATTCACTAAACTCACGTGAAATGATTTCACGTTGGTGTTCAGGGTTTGCTCAGTCCTCTGCTAGAAAGATTTTGGATTATGAGAGGAAGAAGAGCAGGGATATCTATAATTTCGAAGTGTACAATATGCCGAACGTTGAGAAGTTCCACCTCTGTTGCTTAGTGGAAATAGAGTACGACAAGCTCACATATTTGAAGTTATAGGTGTGAATTCGGCTGGTCCCTTCCACATTAGAATTGGAAATAAGGTATGGATATGCCTGTTAACTTGTGCCATTTATCGAGGTGTTCATTCAGAACTCTCGTCGTCACTGTCCACAGATGTATTTCTGCAATCATTCAAATGATTTGTGGCGAGAAAAGGGAGACCGTCAACTGTATACAGCGATAATGGCATAAATTCTGTTGGTGCCAACAATGCTTTCTCACAGTTGGATTGGGAAATGATAACTGAGTATAGAACTATAGAGAGAATATATTGATAATTCGATCCTCCAACGGCTTCTTGGTAGGGTGAATGGTGGCAGAGGTTGATTAAAATCATCAAAAATCTCTTCCGGAAAGTTTTGGGATGAGCCAGTCTCACCTACGAGGAATTATCCACAATTATTTGTGATTGCGCCTCTATTGTGGATTCGAGACCTAAGATAGCCGATATCTTATTCCACTGACTCCTGCTAGGTTCACAAAACAGATTCTGGAATGTGGAGTTCCAGATTTAGATGCCGTGAAGAGGTCAGATTCAAAGAAGCATTTGAGATACAGGATGAAACTGAAGTATGATCTTCGAAAAAGATTCAGGAATGGATATTCAAGACAACTGAAATTATCAGCTGAAAAGCATCCCGAAAAAAAAATCGAAGTTAGTGATATTGTTTTGATAGGTGCCGATAAAATTGATTGACCTCTACCTTATGTTGAAGAACTATTTCCTGGTTGGAACAATGAAACTCGATGGGTACAATTGCAGACTGCTGAAGGATCAATGCTGAGACCGTTACAAAGAGTTTTCGCCTCAGAATTGAATTGCAGCAATGATTTATATCTATCCTTCTCTCCAGAAAAGAGAAATACTAAAAAGAAGCCCCATAGTGAAGAAAATGCTCATGGAAGGAAAAAAGAAAAAACAGAAGATCATGAAAACATTGAAGTACAACTTATCATCACAAGATATGAAAGGAGAGTCAAACCTATCCAAGAAATGTCCTATGTAGTGGATTGAGTTGTTGAACTGAGTATACAACAATTTGAGGTGGGAGGATGTTGCAGATCATTGAACCATATGCACACTGTATTAAATAATATTTTTATTTACGTTCTATGTTCCTAGTTCAATGTGTATCGTCAAGATTGTCATCAATTGACTCGATGAAAAGTCATATTCAATTGAGCTTGTTCTGCTGATTATACTATTCTGACCCATATTTCATCCCCCATACGAAGTATTCAATCACCGGGTGGGTGAAATACGAATATCTAATACAGTTATATAAACGATTTCGTGCTAAATAAATCATCACTTACCTGTATCGGTGTTATGCCTGTATACGTCGTATTTTGATGTACTATTTGAAGGTTCCTCATCAGATTCATAGGACAATATGCCCAGCCTGTTTTCCACCCTGTCAGGCTGAAAGTTTTACCAGAGGAACCGATTGTTATTGTTCTATCCCACATTCCAGGTAATGAGGCTGCAAAGATACAGAGAAATAATCGACTGGTTTAATGATTTGCTCGTGTGGATATTTTGAAGCTACCCATAAGACTCGATATCAGGAGCCCAGAATCAACAAGCTGTCATAGTGACCGGCATAATCAGCCAGAGAATAGCGAACTTAAGCATGCACCACAAAAACCGAGTGGAGTCATTTAACCCGAAGCAGTCAGCAGCAAGTTCCAATATTATTGCTGAGAAACTTGTTGTCATCAATTTCTGATTATGAAGATATAATCCGTGAATGTTCAAAAACCCTTCGATTCAACTGATGATTCATAAAAAGTGAGGATAATACGATCGCCGAAAATTCTGGTTGATCGGAGGCCAACACCCACGCATACTCTCACCCTTAAGACAAGAGTACGCGTGGGTGTTGGCCACCGATCCAACCAAAATTTTCATACATTCCGCTATGATTTTATATTATGTATCGAATCAAATGAAAGTATAGAACATACAGGTTGTTCCTGGTACGTTGGTATAGCTTCATTAGGCAATAAAACCCATATTATGATTATGCTGAGTATATTTCCATAGGCGTAGAACTTGAAACTTTCACTCCAATGAAAAGAACAGGGTTCGAATTCTGATTGTTCAAATCATTTACAACAAAAAAGAAACTCCTGTCATGAAAATTGTTCAAAATGTTCAATTCCACGCGTATACGGAGATTTATACGACGAAAAAAAAATGGATACAAGCAAATTCACCTCAGTACATAATAGCTCAGTCTGGGCACAAGACTGCTACTAAGTACAAAAAAAGCTTAATATACATTTCGAATTCTTCATCGTGTGAATCTCTGTTCACGTAGAAATTTCAAATATTTTTCATGAAATGCTTTTCAATCGTTTTAGTATTGTCTGATGCTTTTGAATACCTTATATTCGAAGTTTGTCGAAACTAAGAGAGAAATCGAATTTCATTAGGAGCTCCCATTTTGTAGTTAACAAAATACGCAACTTCATATTAGTACCCCTTTCTCTTCATCGGCGTAAAAGTTTCAGATGATTATTCACTGATAAAATAAAGTTTCACACCCATGGAATGATATTCAACTTGATCATGATATGGGTTTTATAGCCCAATAAAGTCTTGCCAACGTACCAAATTTGGGTTGGTTAGTGGGTCAACAGTATAGAGAATGAACACTAACATTAGGTTAAGACGAAATGATGGAGTTTTCAATTAAAAAATTATACAGAAATAGTTCCATAAGATCTGGAGAAAAAAAATATGGTTCATATGGCAGCATATGTAGAGTGACTTGATGCCTAGCTTCGCTACGCTCGACTATAAACAATCAGCCGCACAAGTCAATCTCCTTCTTTGCTACCTAGTGGAACAGATAATTATTGAATACATTTCATTTAATGTGATAATTTTGAGACTTATCAAGATATGTCATCACAATTTCATCGTTATCATTTCATTACTCTATGATCCAAGCACGAGTACAAGCAATAAACGGAACCGAATTGCTTCATTCTACCTGTGCTCCCAATTTACTCACCCCTTAACCCAGAAAGATTTGAACTTGCACTACTGGACGTCAAATGCAGTGCATAATCGACTCATTGACTACCTCATCCATACGTCTTTCTAGTGGTTTCATGATAGGCCACTTTTTCAACTTGAATCTCGACATCCTGCGGGGCCATTAATTTTCTGTCAACATCGATGTCTCCCATAATGGCATATCTGACTATAGCTTTATCTCACCACATGTGAGAAAATTAGATGAGCCAGTTGAACCTATAGTGAGAGCCGAAACTCACTCAATGTTTTTTCAGAGACATGACCAAATTAGTCTCATTACCATAATAATAGTCTTGATATAAGACCTAAGGAGGGTTATGGAAACCTTATAGCAGAACATCCAAGTACCAATGGATAGAAGCATCACTGTCATCGAATCCAGCAAATTAAATCAGAAATTCAAGATCCTCACAGCTCAGATTACTTCTTTGTTAAAATATAAGAGCACTTGGCTCCCAGAAAATATCCGATCAGCCAGGGATGTTAAAAACAGAGCTAGAAAAAACTTGCAAAAGATAGATAGAAACGAAAGGTCACATTTCTGGACAGGGGACAATAGCATTGGACTAACTCCTCATTTATAACAAAGATATAGTAACAGTTTGAGTAGATTACGACTTTTGCGATACCGATTTCCAAATGAGAACATCAGACACCTGAATCGTTCGATTTGTTGTCGGCAAATAGACTCAATCAATATTCATTGTATGATTTGATATGTGAATTGATTGAGTTGTTAAAAACTGAATGTTCATAAATCAGTTGATCTGAATGTGATTAAACTACTCACCCATTCTGATGTGCTTCATTGGTTCATAAACCAACCATTCATAGACCTCATCGGATATGCAAACTACGTTCCATTTCTTGCATAAGTCAGCAATCGCAGTCATTTCTTGTTGTGTGAATACTTTGCCAAGTGGATTGTTCGGGGAATTGAGGATGATAACTTTCGTTTTGTCATTGAAAGCGTTTTCCAATTCATTCTTGTCTATAACCCAATCAGCCGACGTGGGTCGTTCATCAAATATGTCTCTCTGTAAAATTTGTGTCTATTAATGAAGAACATTTTCTCAATCGCTGAAGGTAGTATCGGGAAAGGTTAATCTTGGAAAGCAAATTCATAGGAGTTGACAGTTGATTTTCAGTAGTGAAATAATTGAGATAGATATAATGGAGATGATCCTTCATCTTTGAGCTGTTATCGAGCTACGAAATTGGAAATTTCAGTCAAATATTTATGAGGCATTGGTTAATGTCTGAGAGAAAATTGGTGGAAAATTGTTCACCAGTTATTATCAACCAATTAGATTTCAGTATCCGATATGACTTCATTGTAATGTTATTTCATGGAACCTCATGAATAGTCAACTTTCAAGCAATGACAGATCTGTCTAATAGATGAGCATTACTTATAAAAAAATCAGATGGCTAGAAACCAAAGGAATAGGACGTTCAGCTGTTATCTGTTACAGCCGAAAAAAAAGTATAGTGTATAACATTCGCCCTCGCTTTATGCTGCAAATTCCATTCTTGTGGAAAATGACTATCATTTCGTGCCCGTTAAAAGATATACCATCATTTACCGAAAACCCAGTATGAAAATTATATGAAATCAATTATTTTTATCGAATAATTTATCTGACCTTATTATGAATTTCATCTCACTAGGGATAATTAATGGAAAAAAACTGCCTCAATACACACAATCAGTTTTATTTTTATCCTTGTGGCGGTCGGATAAGAATAACCCAACGGTAAGTGCTGCCTGTCGTAGAAGGAGGCTAAAAGGACGCCAATAGATGGAAGATGGCCCGGTGCGATACCACCACATCGAACTTAGATGCTGTGAAATAGGTTTTTGGGCCACCACCCCAACCCAACCAAATTTCCTTCACCTCACACGCCAAACCTATTCCTCTTCAGTATATAAGGAACGATGATGAGTTCTCCTCAAGCAGAATTAACCAGAAGTAAAATACCTCTTCCTTCGGATTTCCCTGCGAGAGGTGCTGAAAGGCCATCGGCCAACAAATGCCTCAAATTAGTTAGATGTAAAATCCGTGGTCTATGAGAGGACATTAACGAGGTCCATCGATACCTTCCTACTGAAAAAACCAGACATATCGGCCCTGACTGAGACACAGGTCAATTCTTCCACCAACACGACCTATATATGCGCTCTTTCTTGGGTATGAGCTCTACACACGTTTCAGGCTCATAGGAGGTTTATCAGTTTTCGAGATTTTTCCTCCTCGTTTCTATAAAATGAAGATATGAATAGTATTTCAATATACGTGTAGTAAGGATGAATCAGATGGTTTGTTCCGAAATGTCACTGCGTTTGAATAATTTTCCTATCACAGAGCCTAAAAGAAAAATTCACTGACAATTTGTATTGGAAAAGGTTTCGAGGATAGAAATAGAGGTATATAGAGGAAATATCAAATTTCCACTTGTCTTCGGACGTTTCGGGATCGAATCTGTTCCTGTTTTCAACATACAAAATTGATATATGTATAGCAAATTCGTATTCGCCTTGACACTTCTCAGATCTCAGTGACAATTGGTGACGTTGGCAATCAAATGAGTTACAGAATGTTTTAACATGTTATATCTATAACAACTGAACAGGGAGCAATGTTATTGTCTCCGTTCGAATCCCTGATTTTTCTCCTCACTACTGGAATTCGAAAAATGAAAGTGGTGAATACAAGATTAATCAATGAGAGAATCCTGTAACTCATTTGATTACCAACGTCATCAATTGTCACGGAGAACTGAGAGGTGTCAAGACGAATACAAATTTGCTATACAACTATCCATTCTTTATGTTGAAAATGGAAGCAGATTCGTTCTCGAAACGTCCAAAGATAAGTGGAAATTTGAATTTTTTTTAAATACCTTTTTCTACAAACGCTTAACAAAGTAACCTTTGACGCTTCCATATTCCAACACAAAATTGACGTTTTCTCAGAAATGTCATTCTTCGACAGCATTTGCGCTCATGAGCGGAAATATTGAAAAAACGCTCGCACATCGCTGTAACCTATAATACTAATCTATTCTTAAAAACCACCAATTCTTTCATGATGAAAAATAGTGACAGTGAACTATCAAACACACCTGCAGATACAGCAGAAAGTGCAAAAGTTTGAATCTCTTACCGGAGAAATCAAAGTAGAAATATGTTACAATATGATACGTTCATATATTGGTGCCACTTCAAGAAGGTGTATAAGTATTCAGAAAACGTTTTAGTGGCTCATTTTGTTGAAAAATCGAAAACTTTGAAGTTATCAACTCTGATCTCTATATATTCGACGATACGTATACATGCTTGAATGTTGAGAATAATATCGAAATCTCTCTCTTTTTCTACTTATACATTTCTTTCATTTTCTTCTCTCCTTTTCTAGATGTCTCTGAACGTCTCACATGTGAATGTGAGATCTCTTATTCCACATTTTAATGATTTTCAGAGTCGTATCATTGATGCAGACCATGATGTAGTGGGAGTCACGGAAACTTGGTTGCATGCAGAAATTAGTAGTGAAACTGTACATCTCAATCAGTATACTTTTATTCGTAATGATAGACCAACTCATGGTGGTGGTGTTGGTATGTTTGTTAAAAACAAATATAAATTTGAGATAATTCTTTATGAACAAAAAGATTACATTGAGCACATATGGTTGAAATTAATAATTTCAGAAGACATTACAGTAATTATCGGTACTGTATATAGGCCTCCTAAATCTAATTTGAGTAATATTTTCAATAAGATAGAAGATACATTCTCTAATATTTTCTCATCTTTTAATAACATAATATGTGTTGGAGATTTAAATATCAATATGTTTGATGTTGACTGCAAAAATACTCAGCAATTCAACTCTATTCTGGAATCGTTCAATTTTATCCAGTTGATAAATGAGCTTACAAGATATACCACTATTTTAGACCTTATCACCACTAACTTTGATATTTCTGACTGTATTCCAAGAGTTGATGATAACTTGATAGCTGATCATTGCCTTATTGCATGTCAAGTTAAACTGAACATTGCCAGCTCGAATTTCAAGAAACAAATTACATATCGTTCTATCGATAAGATTGACATTGATGAATTCCAACTTGATCTTATTTCAATGCCTTGGCATGTCATATTGACAGCAACTGACATTGAATCAAAAATTCAACTTCTTACAGACAATATTATTAATTTATTGAATATTCATGCACCCAAAAAATCTTGTTTTGTAAATATGAAAAAGTATTCACCAGGGATTACAGAGAATATAAGACTCATGCAGAAATTGAGAGATAAGTCACTGAAAAGATTTAAGAACACTCATGTTCCAGAACATCGGTCTTATTAGAAATTTCACTACCAATGCCATAAACGCAGAAAAAGAGCTTTTTTGAATTTTAAATTTCGTAATGCTGGATATAAAGAACAGTGGAAAGAACTGAAAAAACTCAATGTATCATGTGATACCTCTACCTAAAATTCAACTACCAACATGTTTCAATGACTTGCGTTTTATAAGTGTTTTACCCACTTTCTCTAAAATAATTGAAAGGATAATGGAATCTCAAATGAAGGAATACATCGAAACCCAAAATATTCTTCCCTTGAAACAATCTGGGTTCAGAAGAGGTTATAGCTGCAATAGTGCTCTTGCTGACGTAACTGACGAAATCATCCATTCACTGGATAAAAACAAAGTATTCATATTGATTTTACTGGATTATTCCAAAGCCTTCGATCTAATAAATCACAATATACTCATTTCAATGCTGAATTATTTCGGTTTCAGTGTATCAGCTTGCTCTTTATTAGGCTCATATCTCAAAGATAGGGTACAGTTTGTACAAATTGGTGATGAAAAATCCTCAACTTTGGAGGTACTGTCTGGAGTTCCTCAAGGAAGTATTTTAGGTCCATTATTATTTACGTTATATACCTCTAACTTTATCAACTGTTTACATAACTGCAATTATCATTTTCATGTGGACGATACGCAATTGTATTATTATTTCGACATCTCAGAAATAAAAGATGCTGAAACTTCTATTAATAATGATCTATCTGCACTTCATACGTTATCACTTGACCATGCTCTCGTACTCAATCCAAATAAATGTTCTGCACTGATTTTTTGTAAAGAAACTCAAAAGCAGCATTGTAATGAGAATATTTCACTCAAAATCGGCGACACACTAATACCTTTCAAAACTCAGTGTAAAAATCTTGGATTAACTATAGATACTAGACCAAGTTTCACTTCACATATCAATAATAAACTTGAAGCTGCGTATGCCTCCCTAGAACTAATATATCCACAACGTCAATTTTTAACTACTGATGTTAAAAAAATGCTTTGTGATAGTCTACACCTTTTTCAATTGTAATTCAGAAAGTATAAGATGTAATTCAGAAAGTATAAGTTGTAATTCAGAATAGTCAATTGTAATTCAGAAAGTATAACTTGAAATTCAGATTAGTAAATTGTAATTCAGAAAGTGTAACTTGTAATTCAGAATAGTGGAATGTAATTCAATAACCGTCAATTGTAATTCAGAAAGCATAACTTGTAATTCAGAAAGTATCACTTATGATTCCATATTATTTATGCATTACAAGTGATGCTTTCTGAATTACAAATAACGCTTTATGAATTACAATTGACTATTCTGAATTACAAGTTACACTTTCTGAATTACATTTCACTAATCTGAATTACATGTTATGCATTCTGAATTACAATTAACTATTCTGAATTACAAGTTACACTTTCTGACTTACATTTTACTAATCTGAATTACAAGTTATACTTTCTGAATTACAATTGAAAAAGGTGTAGTTCTTTCCCATTTTAATCATTGTGATGCAGTTCATGGTCCCTGTCT